TTTTTTTCCTTTTTGAAGAAGGTAGCATGGAGATCCCGTACTACCTTTTTTCGCCGACGTGGCGGCCGGAGGGAGCGCAGCAGGTTTTAAGATTTTAACCCATTTGATTTTATCCATATTTAAATTTATATCCATTCTAATAAAATTCATTATATTGAAAAACCATAGATTATTTCCAATTTGGTAATTATTTTATTTTAAGATGTTGATTTTAAGGTATTTTTATTTGTGATGAGAGAAGCAAGTTTTTTTCAACTATTTTAGTTTTTGTTTTAGTGGAAATATTTGGATCGTTTATTTTGTGGGAACGTAGATATTCGAGCTCAGATAGCCATGTTTGTTTAGTAGAAAGATTTATAAGGAATTTTCAACTTTAATATTTTATAAAATATATAAATATACAATTAATGTTATCGGAGGTGGATTTTATTTATTATAATATCAAATTATATTAAATTTTTTAAAAAGAAAAATATATAGTGTATATTGGTCGTAAAAAAAGTTATTGCTTCAAATTATATATTTAAGATAATAAATATTATTAATAATAATTTGTTCAAAATTTTAAAAATAAATGAAGATATCATATAATTTAATTAAAGTTTATTTTATATGTAAATGTAATATATAAATATATTTAATTGCATAAAGTTGTTTGTTAGCCAATAAGTATATTAATTTATTTTCCTTAAAAAAAGTATATTAAGTTATTTAAATTATGAATTTAAAAGTAAAAATAAAGAAAACCGATAAAAGAAAATATATGAAAATAGAATGAAGAGCAAAAATAGAAAGAGATGATACCCTTGATATGGGAATCTAGTAAACTCATATTTCAAAAGGGCATACAAAACAACTTGAACGCCCCTCAAATGGGCATCTCAAGATACTGGACATCTTGACATATCTGAGTATCCTATATTGTTGCAAAACAAATATGGGAATTCAGATGTTCGTCTCATGAGAATCTTGGATTCTCACGAAACAAACGACCCCTTTAGGAATGAAGAGAAAATTATAGCCTACAGCCATAAATATATGCATATGTGTCTTTAAGTTATGCTTAAATTTAGCTAGGTCCAAACTTAGGTGTGTCGATCAGTGTGCCTAAAATTAACCCGACCGACCAAACCGACCCTACCGATGTAAGTGGTTGGTTTTAGCCAGATTAGGGAACCGAGAAAACTGATTTTGATGGCCAACCCAATCCAAAAATTTTCGGTTGGTTTGAGTTGGGTTGCTGGCTTGCTTCATGGCGACACGAGGGACGACGAGTAGATGTAGATTTGTGGTTTATTAGCAAATCTATGGGTAACGAGCAGTTATGTGGGTTATAGTAGCGACGAGCATCTTTGGGTCACGGTTACGAGTAAGGATCTACTTCATGGCGGTGACGAGTGTGGACGGTGGACCTGCATAGAGGAAGTATTTGCTTCGAAGAATAATGACACAACAAACTTTGGAGAAACGGTGAAATTTCTAAAAGTGGAATAAGATTGAAAGAGAGAGAAATGAGAGTGGGAGAGGTGAGATCGATAGAGAGGGAGGGAGATAAGGAGAGGGAGAGGTGAGATTGATAGAGAAGGAGATGATAGATTGAGAGAGAGAGAGATTGGTGGAGGAGGCGGCGACACAAAAGGGAAAAAAGTTAGGAACCCTAAACCTAAACACACACATATATATACTAAAAATCGGTTTGGTTCAGGTTGAACTGAAATTTTCTTTTCTAAACCCATGAACTGAATCGAACCGATCAGTTCCAGAATTTTTGAACCCAACCCAAATCGAAAATTTAACCAACCTAACTCAATCCTAATTATGGTTTGGGCTGGTTTGATTAAATTCTTCGGTTATCGTGTTTTTTTAACACTCCTATCAACCAGTCGAAAACCCCCAAAATCAATCGACCTGATCGACATATATGTGTTTTAAAAAGAAATTTTAATTGAAGAGCAAAACTTAAATGCTAGAACAAAAATTCAAAAACTAAAGTTTGATAACAAAGTAGAAAGGAAAAACAAAAGCACGGAAAATGAAGTGTGTTGAGATAATCCGTGGAAGCTTCAATTTATAGGCTTGGGGGAGAGTAACAAGTTCAGGAATTCATGGGAAGTTGGAACCAATTGTGGTTGTAAAGATTTGAGGAAGTTAGACCAAATCTTGGACCAATTATTTGGTCAAAAGTGGTTATTCACGTTTTCATAATTTAGGCATCGAATGTGGTTGAAGCATTGTGAAACTTGTTCTTTCAAAGGAATGTGGCTGGCGCATTCCTCCAGTAAGCTGAGAAATCTATTTTGGCGGGCGCCTGACGCATTCTGATCATCAATCTTCAACTTTTTCTTACAAAATAAATATATTTACACAAATTAGCGCTCATTTACCTATAACTAAATGCCCAAGTCCTTAATCACAAAATATGCACATTTTTCTAACATAGATGCATAATCATACATTTTTCATCCTAAATAACCCGCAACTAAGCATGCAAATCTATTGTTTTTAGCCTTTGATCAAGGCTTATCAAAGAGTATCAGGCCAAAGATGGTGGCATGAAGTGTTATTTGAAAAAAGCTTGAGAATTCCTTAGTCAGTTTAAAGAGTATGTAATCCGCCAAGTGCCTCGATCAGAGAACTCTGATGCTGATGCATTATCCCGGCTCGCCTCGGCCTATGAAATCGACTTGCTACGGTCAGTTCCAGTGGAGGTACTGTGCGAACCTTCCTTTAATCAAGCTAAAGTAATGGACATGCAACCTAGTTCGCACACATGGATGGACCCAATTAAGGAGTATCTTGTAGGAAACGTGCCGCCTGATCGAGTCGAGGCGCGTAAGCTCAGATGTAGAGCTGTCGATTACCTGATGTAGGATGACAAGCTTTACAAGCGAGGATTTCCCTCCCACTTCTCAGATGCCTTGACCTGGACAAGGTGAACTATGTCATGAGAGAAGTCCACGAACTCGATCCATGGCAGTGAAGATGGTCCACCAAGGCTATTACTGTCCAACCTTGGATCAGACTCTAAGGAGTTCGTTAGAAAGTGCCACAAGTGTCTGATAGTGTAATCTATAAACCACATTTCATGACATTCAGGTGGGAATTATCTAGCAATTTTTGGTCATTTCTAGCTTATTTATGTGCATAACTGATGTTTTTACAAGATCGAGTCATTAGAAAGAATTGAAGCATAAATGATAAATTAAGAGGAAAATTAGAGCAAAGAGGCGCCGCAGCGCCATTATGTAGCGCTGTGGTACCTGCAGGTCAGAATTGAAAGCAAAATCTCGAAGAAGCAGCTCCAGTACACAGCACCATGGCGCTTGCAGACAAAACTTGGGCCTCTTTCCGTTATGACAGTACCACAGCGGTGTCTTGTAGCGCCATGTCACTCACTAATGGCGCCATGGCGCTGTAGCGATGCCCTCACATAAGTAAAATATTAGTGCGCCGTTTTTGGGGACTACATTGGGGAATTGGAGTTTTTAGAGGTTTGGTTCGAGAGTTGAAGCAAGGAAGGCAAGGAAACGATTTTCGAAGGCTCGTGATCGTGGAGATTGAGTCGAGGGCGGTCAATCGACACTACAGCTTTAGTTTCTCTCCTTTCTTTTATCTTTTCAAGGTTTATTATGAAATTCTCAGTGGGATTTTATTGTGTTTTCATGAACACGAGTAGCTAATCTTCTTGTTATAGGGATTGATGTAGCCGCTGGATTTATGAGTTGGATTTATTAACAATTGTCTTGATTGATTTGTATTTAATCTATTTGTACATTTATTCGCGTAATGCTTTTAATCTTTTGATCACGGATAAATTGATGTTAAATCTGAATCTTACGCTCGGGAGAGGTAGTTTAGATTAGAACTTGAATGCATGACTGAGGTAGTTCTAAGATCGAGAGATTTAGAATTATCTTAGAGGTTGTTAAAAGAATAAGACTTAGGGCTTTGCTTGTTAATGAAACTAGATAGAGATATTGGTTTCTTAATAAGTGGGAGAATTAATTGTACTCGGGAGAGACAGTTATGATTATTGATTTCTTGACTTATAAATTAATTGCATATTCAATCATGACATGTTTAATTTGTCCGCTTGTAGGTTCAATTGGTGAAATCACTTCCCTAGGTGTCGTTCTCCATAAGATTTTTCTTGAGAGTCTTTTATTCGCTTATTTGATCTTTTGTGTGTCAAAAGAAACTCTTTGTTGTTTCTCTAGATAAAATTGGACAATAATATATGTAGTACTTGAGTGACTAAAAACCCTATCCAGTAGACGATATCGGTAATTACTTACCCTTTTTGTTAAAACTTTACCCTTACACTTAAGGTAAGCATTTTCTGTTACAGTGCCAGGGATTTTCGAATATACAACACTGACCTCCGAAGTTACTCACTCTAATCTCTAGCCCTTGGCAGTTTGCCCAGTGGGGCCTAGACTTGATTGGGCCACTTTCCACTAGCAAAGGACAGACAAAACGCGCCATAGTCACCGCCGACTACTTCAGTAAGTGGGTCGAGGCTAAGTTGCTAGCAAAGATAATCGAGGAAAAAGTAATGAACTTCGTATAAAGGAATATTATTTATCGGTTCAACATTCCCAATGCCATGATTACGGATAACGGGAAGCAGTTCGATAATGAACGCTTCAAAAAATTTTGCGATGACCTCAGAATCAAGCATCTCAGCTTGTCACCTGCACATCCTCAAGCTAATAGACAAGTTCAGGCCATAAACAAATTCATCAAACGATGATTGAAGATGAAGCCCGAGTCTTT